GTGGATCTGTGCTGGGCTCCTGGGTGGGGGGCAGGACACTGGGGGGATGGGCAGTGGGAGGATGCTTGGAGGTGTAACTGGGTAATGGGGGGAACAGGGGCCATTACTAATGAGGCTGGGGCAGTGGGGAGGAGAGGGGGCATTTCCCCACTTCCTGCCCCCTCCATCTGGGAGAAGCTGCATCGGGGGCCAGTCCCAGTTCATACCCGCGCAGCGCGTCTGCACTAGGGTTTTGCACGGGGGCACCGACATGCCCAAGACACTGCTGTGCCAGGGGCCGTAACCCCTCCCCTCACTGGGGTTATGGATCAATAATTACAGGGTCACTGGAGCAGGGGAGCTGGACTCTGGGCTCCCAAGTGGGGCCCGACACACTGGGCTGCAGAGTCATTCTCACTCCCACGCTCTGGCTCAGTGCCCATGGCAGTGTTTAGACACAGGGGGAGTCTTCAGCAGGACAGATTGAGGGAGCCCCACATCAGACACCCGGAGCCCAGCGGTTCCAGCCCTCACCTGAGTGGGGGAGACCCATGTTCCAGTTCCTGCCCCACATCACACGGGGGGATTGAACCTGGGGCTCCCAGCTGAGGGTCCAGCCACTGGGCTAAAGGCTAGAAGGGAAGTGGCAGGTGGCATCTTCTTCTGTTCATTCAAACTATTCAGCAAACTCAACTTGGATTTGCAAAGTTTCAGTCAATCCAAAATAATATTTTGCAGCAAATAAACTATTTGTCCAAAACATTTCACCCAGCTCCACTTCAAACCTGTCTGAGCAACTTAGGAGCCTAAACCCCATGACTTGCAATGACTGACTGTCAACATCCCCAGCAACGCAGAGTTACGGGCTCAGGACATCAGCTATGAAACAGCCCAGAGCTGCCGTGAAATTTGCCCTGGGTAGGAAAATCCCCCCCCCCCCTCCGCTCCTGATCTCACCCCAAAAATCAGGCTGAAAATGGAGTCTTGGCTCCAGCCTGAACTCTCTGCTCAGAGCGATTTGTCCCCTGGACTCTGCGAGCAGCACAGACCCTCTGCAGCTGCACTTGGGCGTCTCCCAGAGAGGATAATGGTCACCGATACCGTCTCAGAGCCCCAGGGGCTCAGGTGTCTCAGAGCCGGGTGGACAGACTGAGATTTGTGGGGCTCCTGCTATAGCGCCAAAAAGAGCCGTACAGACCTTCTGGCTCAGGATGGAGCTGGGGCTCTGAAGCCCAGGGAGTAAGTGGGGGCAGGCTCCAGCCCCAGACACAACATCTACACAGCTGTGTTTAATGCTGCAGCACAAACCCCACAAGCCAACGTCTGTCACCCCGGCTGTGAGACTTGCCCAGGAGGGCTGACAGAGCAGCACGGCACAGACATCTTCCATGACTGTGGGACATTCACTGTCCCAAGCTGGTGTCTGGAGGGCCAGCAACAGCCATGGGTGTTCCAGCTCCCATTGCTGGAAGTGCCCAGGCACCCACAGCGACGCACTGAGGAGGGCCAGTGACTGGAAAGAGTCACCCTGACCCACTGCAGACAGGGCTGGTCCAATGCTGTGCTCAGACTGTGGGCAGGACGGGCACATAAGATGGGACTACCTCCAGGAACAATGACGGGGAAACTGGCCTGGTTTCCCAGAACACTTGGGGAACAGGGGAGTCCCAGGTTATTGAAGACACCCTGCCATGGGGAGGTCAGGTGCAGGACTGTGGGAACCCCATTTTGGGCTGGGAAAAGTGACTCCCCGCCAGGGTTAATTTGATTTGACTGCAGGGAAAAGGGACACGTAAAAAGATGCTGCCCTACAAGAACTTTGGATTTTGGGCAGAGGGGATCGGGGACGTCGCTATGGGGCAGTGAGAGTTTCTAGTACTGGGTAAAATGGGTAGCTAAGAAAGCAGGCCCTGGGGTATAAGCTTCAGAGGGAGAGGCCAGCCATGGGTTTTAGACGTCCCTCTGCTTACCAGGGATACCTTAGCCTCCCTCCCAGATTCAAAGCTTGGGAACTGGGAGTGTTTGAGTAGCTTCTCCCAAGAACCTGAAAGGACTCCCTTGGAAAATGATCCAACCAGCAGCTTAGTGGACAGCCGGCTCTCTGGGCCAGGGGAGCCGAGGCAAA